CTTCTGGGCCTGGGTTCTAAGACCTCAGCCTGAATCAGCTGCCATGGGCGAGCCGCAGGTTTTTGTCTACACAGCAAAGGGTAAGCATGTTAAGGACAAGACAGAGATATACCGGGGCAAATGTTACATCCTTTCCCCTTACTTCTGCAGTTTTTGTTTTTGGATAGTAAGTGCTTTAGACCAGGAATCTGCCATACGCTGTTCTAAGAGAGACAAGATGGGCGAGGTAATATTTTGTACTGGACCAACTTCTGTTGGTGGAAGGTGGAAGCATTCAAGCTACACAGAGCTCTTCTTCAGGTCTACAGCACTGCTACAACAACACTGCAAACATGCTCTGTTCTGTAGACTCGAGCACATTTTTGGGTGTTGTAAAAATAATAAATCGTAATTCTACAGCAACACGTATCGAGTACATTCTCAATCCTATGCAATACCAAGGCACAATGGGATGCAGTAAACTGAGCACCGTCAACCTTGAAAGATTGTGGAAAAACAATCCACAATTCCAAAGCGAGGACTGCAATACTGTTAAAATATCTGGGCATTCAGATTGCTCCATTGTCACAAACTCACTTGAGGAGTCATTGCTCTGAGTAAATGAAAATTGGCAGGTTTCAGAGTAGCAGCCGTGTTAGTCTGTATCCGCAAAAAGAACAGGAGTACTTGTGGCACCTTAGAGACTAACAAATTGATTTGAGCGTAAGCTTTCATGGGCTACAGCCCACTTCATCAGATGCATAGAATGGAACATATAGTAAGAATATATATATACATACAGAACATGAAAAGGTGGGAGTAGCCATACTAATTCTAAGAGGCTAATTAATTAATATGAGTTATAAGCAGCAGGAGAAAAAAAAAAACTTTTGTAGTGATAATCAAGATGGCACATTTCAGACAGTTGACGAGAGGTCTTTTGGGAAGAAAATAGGAATCTTGTCCTTTTCATTCCCCTGCCAGTTCAAAGGGAACAGTGATGGCATGACTTGCCCATCTGTTCCCTGAGCAAGGCAAATCCAATACTGTACCCTCACTTGTTGTTGGGTCACCCACTCGAGGAGCTGGGATTTGAACACTGTTACAGCCTTCATTTTGAAGGGTCGGGATCACATTCCGATTTCATTATCACTGGTGTAAAAAAGTAAAGTCAATGGAATTACTCCAGATTCACACCACCAGTATCACCAAGAGCACAGTCTGGCCCAATGACAGTGAAATAACTACCCGGGAACATTTTCAAAATGCCCAGTATTTGTTACGAGGCAAAGTGGTGTAAAGAAGGGGCTGTGTGGAGCCAAACGAACTTGAGATTGGGGTCTTTAGCAATTCAAACCACGCTCTGGGATCTTGCAGAGTGAGAGGATTTTACACAAAGCCCAATAAACAGGGAATCTGCGCTGATTTCGACCGATTACTGCGGTGTCCATCCTAATCAGCGGATTCAAATTGCCGATCGGTGGTGCCCTGGCTCAATAACTGGCAGTGGGTGAATCTCACAGAGCTCAAGGTTTTGCAAACTTGAATTAATTCATAGCTCTGTCGAATGAGTTTGAGTTTGCAAACGTTTTTTTCCGGTCATTTAAACCCATGGGTCATACTCCTCCGCCGAGAATAATTCAGACTTGTTTTTAAAATGTGTTTTTCCTATCTAGAGGGAATCCTGTGCAACCTATTAAGGACTAAATAACATTCCATAAAAGGGAGGCTCGCCCACGCTCATGCCCTATACATAGGGTGACCAGATGTCCTGATTTTATAGGGACAGTTCCAATTTGGGGGGCTTTTTCTTATCTAGGCACCTATTACCCTCCACCCCCATCCTGATTTTTTATACTTGCTATCTGGTCACCCTACCTATACATGTTATATGGACTGCCTTTAAGTTGTCAGTCGCTATTTTCCTTTCTCCCCTTCTCCTATGTTCACAGTTTCTCTGTATTCACATTTTCCTTCATCCATATTTTTTTCCACAGGATTCATTCCCGCTCCTCTTTTCACAGTGACCCCTAAGCAGAACCCACTGGTTCCGGGCTAGAGATTTACATAAGTAGGGATTGCAGCGCCAGGGCCTGAATTTATCGAGCGAGGAGGTGGCAGCATTTGGTATATAAGAGAAATAATCCGCCCCCCATGCTGTATCCTGCAACTCCTCAGTGACTGGGGTTCTGGCCTATGATGGTTCAGTGGGGTTTGGAGAAGAGACCTGAGAACACCGTTCCCTCTTGTTAACCATCCCAGCTAAAGGAGGGCAGGGCAGCAGCCCGATGGAGGAAGGGGCTCCCCCCACACACCCATGCACGTGCAGCCACCCCACTCCCGGGACCACCTGCAGCTGCGGATGCTCAGCGATGGGCAGGATCAGAGCCGGCAAGGCAGGATCTCTGTTTACCTAGGTCCACACTGAGCCCGTCACCGTGGTCTCGGAGCCTGAGGTTGCTCCGCCGGGACCCCGATCACTGGAGCCGGGCGCTGGCTGGGGGACCCTCCCCCCGCGCCCGCAGACTCCTCGGGCTGCCCTGTCTCTGGGCACAGGTGCAGGCGGGTCACTCACCGCGTCCGCCGGGAGCGCAGCGCCAGCAGCAGCAGCAGCAGCAGCGTCGTCCCCAGCAAGGCGGCGGCCAGAGCCCAGCACATGGCGCGGCTGATCGCCGGGACCCCGCCGGAGGAGCCGAGTGGAGCTGCTGCTTCGGTCCCCGCCACTCTGGTCTGTCCGGCCGGCCGGCCGAGCCCCTCACTCTGGGCTGCCTTGGTCTCCTCCCCTTCCGTCCCTCCTGGCCGGGCCAGACCAGCCCCGCTGGACCCGTGGGAGGCTGCCCCCCTGCCGGCTACGTGCTGGCTCCAGCCCGGAGTGCGGGGGCAGAGCCCCCCGTCCCCACCGCTGGGGGAAGCTCTCCAGCCCGGTTCTCCCCGCTGCCATGGGGGTCTCAGGGAGCTGAAACCAGACATCTAGACCCTGGTCCCCGGATCCCCATTCCTCACTGGGAGCCCTAGAGAAACGGAAGGGCAAACCCAGCACCTCCTAGCCCTTCCCCTCCACGCCAGTTTCAGTTGGCACCCCCCGCCCCAACCGCCAAACTAGACTGTGCAAAACCAGGACGAGCGCACCCAAAATAGCGCCCCAGACACGGATCCCTGTGTAGAGGGAAAGCCCAGCAAATCCCTGTTGGAAAGAGCGCCCCCAAACCCCCATTTCCACTGTATTTTCTGTGCTCATCTCCTTCCCCACACGCTTCCCCATAGCGCCAAAACACTAACTAGCCTCTTGTTCGGAGAGCATCCTGCAGCCCAATAGCACTAGATAAATAACAGGCAACGACGGTCTCTGTTTATTCAGAAGCCTTTCCATGATACTCATCACTGTAGACTCAAGCGGTTTTCCTTGCCCCTCCGAAGGGAAATTCTAAGCAAGCAAACAGTGCAGCAGAGAAGAAGTGTGCCCATTGCTTCATCTTTTACCTTGGTGGGATTCTGGGCACTTTATCCAACTGTTTTTGCAAAACTCTTTTAAATTAGAGCCTAGTTATGCCGATTTTATTAATCATTTGAAGTATTTTATTACTTTTTTATAGCACCCACAAGTGTATGATGCACTTTACAAAAGACACTGAAAAGATTGACGGGGCTTCACATCTAATGAATGGCTATGACTGAGACATCATATAACCAAGGCCCTGTGAATGCCACAGCAAGATGGAGTTTGCTTAAAAGACCTGTGGTTTCTCTGGCACACTGGCTATTCTAGAGAAACTTCAGGATTATGCATATCAGTTCTGGATATGCATATGTCTTGATGGTTCAAAACAATTTATATTATGTACAATACCATGAATACACCCATTTTTATAAGCAATTCTGCAAATGTGTCCATTATTATTTCTTATTAGTGTTTGGAGGCACCTCGGAGCCCATTCATAGATCAGAGCCCCTTTACGCAAATACATAACAAAGAGACAGGCCCTGTCCCAAAGAACTTGTCTCGGTAATCTGCAGGCAGTGCCCTTTTAAACAGCTCTCTAAGGTGCCATTATGTAAATAATTATTATTACTAATACATACACAAGAATGTGCCCTTAGGACCCAATACAACGACCATTCATCTCATGCCAAGGTACTGACCCTGCAGTACTTACTGAAGCAAAATTCTCATGGCAATCAGGAAGGGCGTAAGGACAGCAGGCTGGGTCCCCAAATGCCTGGTAGCTTTAATCAAGGACAAACTGGAAGTTACTGCAGCAGACTCTCAGTTGCTTGCTGAACTGTTAATGACCTCGTGAACACTGTTTGGGTTGGAGAACAGATCATTGATAACAAGACAGAAACTCTCTCTAAAACTAGGTTGTTGGGTTTTTTTAAAGTCTTGTGACAAAGTTCCTCCTCTGCCTTGGTGGGTCCTGCACTTATTGGCGGATTTGCTCGCCTCAGAGATTCACGGCAGCCCTCAGTTTGGCCACTTTTGCTAGTGGCCCAAACCTGCCATTCACTCAGCTAACCCCATCACTGGCCAGCATGGGGAGAGGGAGGAGAACAATTCCCACAGTCTCTGCTGACCCACCTCGTGGGTCGGGGGAAGGCAAGAGACCTTCCACTCTGGTGGGACCCACAGTCCAGGTCAACTCCTTTTGTATCAAATAGGGAGTTGGGGGGATGGGAGAAACCTGGGCCTGCCCACTACTCCAGGTTCCAGCCCAGGGCCCTGCGAATCGCAGTTGTCTATAGTGTCTCCTGTAACAGCTGCGTGACAGCTATAACTCCCTGGGCTACTTCCCCATGGCCTCCTCCCAACACCTGCTTTATCCTCACTGCACGACCTTCCTCCTGATGCCTGATAATGCTTGTACTCCTCAGTCCTCCAGCAGTACGCCTTTTCACTCTCAGCTCCTTGCATGCCTCTTGCTCCCAGCTCCTCGCACGCCCCTCACTAACTGAAGTGAGGTCCTTTTTAAACCAGGTGCCCTGATTAGCCTGCCTGTCTTAATTGATTCTAGTAGCTTCTTGATTGTTCTGGAACAGCCTATTATCTTACTCAGGGAAAAGGGACCTGCTTAATCTGGGGCTAATGTATCTACTTTCTCTCACCCTTCTGTAGCCATCTGGCCTGACCCTGTCACAGTCTATAGAAATAGGTGGTTTGTCATTGTCTGAAATATTCTTTGCTGAGCTGTTAAAATAGAAAGATGGTTTCCCAACCAGTACCTGCCTGGCAGAGACAAGTTCTTTTTAGTGTAATTTATACCCTGATGAGTTATTTTATAATCTGAGAGAACTGGAGTCCAATTCTGACCCCATACAGTGTGACCGCTGACATCAGTTGTCTTGCTTTGCATTTACACACATGGAAAAAAGGAAGAATCTTGTCCATGTTCTTTTTCTTTGGAATTAATACTTCTGTGTGTGTCTGGTGTGAAAGGTTCTTTCTTCTGTAAGAAACAGGTCCCAAGACATGGGAAACCATTAACAATTATATATATATATATATAATTATTATTTATTATTTAAATGACTATGAGCCTATTGCCTGGGGTGGAGAGAAAAATCTATTTCTCCCCATCATTCCACCCCTACCTAGCTGCAGATAATCAACTTTGTTTCTAACCAGAACTATATAAATGCATATATGTATGTTGTTATTATAGAGGTATACTAAAAAGGCAAAGGAAGAACAACAATTCCTACAGTAACCATAGCAGAAGCAATTATGACCCACAGGAAGGCATACAACTATTTTAAAACACATTTTTTTCAACAGGGAGAAAAGCTAATCAAAGAACTGGGTTTATATATATTATTGTGTTTTCTTCATCTGTTGTGAAAGATAGCCAGTATCTTTATCTGCAGAATGATATCATAATCAAAAATGTTCTATTTCAAAATGGTCAATATAGAATAAATGTATGTTGACAACAGCACTAGAGGCTTGTTTCTAACAAATAAATGAAAGGAATACATTACAGTTAATTTTGGTAGTTACTAAATGGTTTTTGGAAAGCATCTGAGACAGTAAAAGAGCTCCAGTTGAACTGAGCTTCAATGTGGATTGGATTCACATGGGGATCTTCCCAAGTTGTTAAAGAAAGACTTTTAGAATAAAATCTTCTAAATATCAGAATATGGTGCTTTTTAGGAGGGGGAGAATGGCAACAACATTACCTATTGCTTGTAAAAGGTGTTGTTCAATTAATTAACTGGGAAGCAAAACACAAAAAGAACCAGTGATTTGCAGAATCTGCCCAAGCTGAGTGAATATTAATAAAAAATGTACTACAGAAAAAGCATATTCAACTAAATTATTTCCCAACACATTTCCAGCATGGCTGTGCATTATGTCCTATGACGTCAAGTATCAGGAGGTAGCTGTGTTAGTCTGTATCCACAAAAACAACAAAGAATCCGGTGGCACCTTAAAGACTAACAGATTTATTTGAGCTTATGCCCAAATAAATCTGTTAGTCTTTAAGGTGCCACCGGACTCCTTGTTGCTTTTATGTCCTATGATGATGACTGAGTTTAACCTTAAGGCTAAACAGAACCCCCCAAAACTGAGTTTTACATGCAAATAGGCTGTAATCAGGTGAGCAGTCACCTGGCTCTTTGGGTTCAGGGACTGTCTTTTTGTTCTGTGCTTGTACAGCACCTAGGATAATAGGGAGCTTGTCTGTGACTGGACTCCTAGGCACTACTATACAGAATACCCACCCATGCAAACAAGGAGTCAGGTTTGTGTATATGGATGCACTTGTAAATATTTTGGGTACATTTTGGGAGACCCCTGAAAGTTGGGTCCCCAGCCCCTAAGATTCTATGCAAACACTGAAGAAGTTAATGTTTTCCTTCTGTGCTGAATGCTGCACTAAAACATAGTGAACACTATGTCCCAAACTCATCCCAGGTTTAACTCCACTGACGGTTGGAGAAAGTCTAAAAAATGCTTTGGAAAATAAAAGAAAGGCAGGATACCCGTTTGATGCTTTATATCAGGAGGGGATCCTGTTTTGCTGGCAGCAACCCACATACACTTATTTGCTACAAAGAAAACTGAACCACAGCAAATATAGAAGCCGAATCTGAAATAAAGTCAACTTTACTGGCATCTTTGAAAAGAAACAATGATACAAAATATGGAACAAATTCATCCTGGGCCTAACTCCACTGAACTCTCTTATCTCTTTACTTTTGTCTGACTTTCACTGCATTTTTAGCCAAAGAACCAACATATTTACCTGTATAAAGATTGTTATGGAGTAAATTGGGGAAGTGCCATTGACTTCAGTGGAGCGACGTCATTTTACACCAGCTGAGGATCCAGCCCTCTGTTAGCCACTGCTCGTAATTACTGTAAGCTGTTCCATGCAACAGATGTGTTTTCTCAACTGGTTGCTGTACAAACCATTTGATGTGAGTACACAGTAGAGAAATGGAATGGGTGGATTAAACTCTCTCTATGAACAATGCTGAATGTATTTTGTTAGCATGCTTGCAAACAGCACCATGTGTGTTTACATTTATTCCAACTCTTTCCATATGTACCTAGTAGGGGAGAGAACAGTACCGAGACACAAACTCTAGAGCTGGAAGATTTCTTAACTTGGGATTTTAATAATGGGACAGATATCAGCTTGTGTGCTTTAGCATGGTTACACTTACTTCACCAGAGATACTCTGATTTACACCAGCTGAGCTGGCCCAATAAGTTAATACAGATCTTGTGCCCACGTTTCCCAAATGTATCAGCTGGTGGTCAGTCATTTTAAGTGCTATACTAGGGATAACAGAGAACAACAGTAGAAAACGGAGACAAAAAAAATCACTAACAGTGTCAATAATAATTTGAAACTTAACAGGTGAGGTAAAGGATGGTTCCCTGGTACTCTTCCCGCGGTATCATTTCATGCTTTGGGAGTGATGTTCACTGCCATGTTACGGTCTTCCAGAATGGCCTATACATGTATGGCTTTTGGAAAATGAAATTTAGCTTTGAAAGTGTAACATGAACGATTTTACAAAGGCAGATAAGCAGCATCAAAACAGGTTATCTCAAAAATATCAGCCTCAGGCAAGTAGCTCCAGGATAAGTAGAAACAGAATGATTAAAATTGCAAAATATTTTGGCACATGTGCCAGTGTCTGTGTACAAATAAGTGTCATTCTGGACCTTTTCAGCTTTGAATTGTAGGCTTTCATCTGTTTGAATGGGCAACAGGATTCCCTTGCTATCAGTAGATCGTAACACGATACAGGCTTTGGTATCACATCAGTATGTTGATGATACTCAGGTCTGCAATTCCTTTTCATTAGCCCCAGTCATAACCAGTGCCAGACTCCCCAAAAGATTTGGCAAGAACAAAGACCTGGATGAAAGCCAGTTGGCTAAAGTTCCACCTGGATAATAACAGAGGTGGTGCTGCTCTGCAGCGGAAAAGCTTTCAGAAGAGATGACAAAACGTACGACTGCTCCAGCAATTGAAGGCATCTGCCGAACCACTGTCGAAGTGAAGAGCTGTGCTGGGGCCTTACTAGAGGCATCCCTGCCCGTCAGTTCCCAGATTACATCAGTGGCTGTCACAAACACCTTCTGAAGCTTATGGCAAAGAGCTCCATCTGGATCTAACCCCAAATGAACCTCAGAAGCTATGGTTAGCGCAAAGTATTGTTTCCCTCCAGAGTGAGGTAGGAGGGTAAGATCATCTCATACTGGTGCTCCATTCACTGCCAGGAGAATTCTAGATGACAGTCACGGTGCTCTCCTGAGCTGCACAAATAATTTCAAATATATTTAATAGGCAAAATTATTCACAATTTTTAATTCTCAGAGTGCAAATATTGCAATTTGTGCAACTAACTTAGGTGCCTTTTATAAATTACTTATGAAGTTATGGCATGGAATATGATTTTTATATTGGAACAGTCATTGTTTGGGCTGCACTGGTTAGTTACATCAGTAATCTAATCAGGGTACAGAAACAATACAATGGTACTTATGTAACTAACCAAGACAGTGTGGGCAGGAATAGGGTATTTTTATGCCAGAGTTTAGTTTATTGAGCACTCATAATGATATCTAAACATTGCTAAAAGTCTAGGAAGTCAATACAACTAAACTGCTTCACACTAGCTGAAGGTCTGGCACACACTCTGGAAAAACATAGTTATTGTGGTTATTATTTCTTGTGAATTGAGTCCACATGTGTGAGCTCAATATTTGTTACACAACTTTTCTTATAAAACTTGCAGGCGTGCTATAATTTAAATGAGCAAAAGAACTTCAGAATTATTAATCATTGGTTATCTAGTTTACATCAAACATAATAAGGTATAAGCAATGAAACAGTGTCAATTGGATTCGAATACAACATCTGTCTTCTCACAGGTGGATAGTGGCCAAAAGAAATGACATGTTCTGGAAGAACATGTGTGTCATGGAGTAGGGCCCTTTTCACTTGAGCAAGTGGAAACACTGTTGGTGACCCAAAATTCAACATGGATCCTGCCTGCCTGGGATACGGAATCCAGAATCTGTAGATGGTCAATGAAAGTTTTGTTCCAAACATTATCATAGTCCTATGCTTAGATAACTTCTGGATCCCTTTCAAGAGTTTTAATTCAGTTATCTGAGGAAGCTGCTCAAAGAGTATCCACTTGAGAATTCAGTATGTCTGTAGCTATCAACCAGGGTCTGATTGAAAGCCTATTCAACAGTATTTGGATGAGGCCCTTAAAGAGTAGTTTAGGATCTCCAATGGAAATCAATATTATACATTTCAAGTTAAAATCACCACAATCTCTCACGGTTTTACCTAACTCCTCTTCAGCAGGGCCGGCTCCAGGCACCAGCCCACCAAGCATGTGCTTGGGGCGGCGCCTGGAGGGGGGCGGCCCGGCGGGGCACTCCGGCCCGAGAGCGGGGCCGCAACTGGGCTTGCCGCCCTCCCCATGGTGCTTCGGCTGCCGGGGAGAGCGGAGCTGCAGCAGGCTCGCCGCCAGGGAGAGTGGAGAGCCCTGGCCGGGCTCTCTGCCCTGCTCCCGGCACTCTGGCCGCCGGGGGCTCTCCGCCCTGCTCCCGGCGCTCTGGCCGCCAGGGGCTCTCTGCCCTGCTCCCGGCGCTCTGGCCGCCAGGGGCTCTCTGCCCTGCTCCCGGCGCTCTGGCCGCCAGGGAGAGCGGAGAGCTTCGGCTGGGCTCTCTGCCCTCCTCCCGGTGCTTTGGCCACTGGGGGCTCGCCGCTGGGGAGAGCAGAGAGCCCTGGTCGGGCTCTCCGCCCTGATCCCAGCGCTCTGGTCGCTTGGGAGAGTGGAGAGCCCCGGCCAGGCTCTCCGCCCTGCTCCTGGCACTCTGGCCACCAGGGAGAGCGGAGAGCCCCAGCTGGGCTCTCCACCCTGCTCCCGGCACTCTGGCCACTGGGGAGAGCAGAAAGCTCCGGCCGGGCTCTCCGCCCTGCTCCCGGCACTCTGGCCACCGGGGGGAGAGTGGAGAGCCGCGGCGGGCTCGCCGCCCTCCCACCGGTGCTCTGGCCACCTAGGGCGGCAAAAAATCCAGAGCCGGCCCTGCTCTTCAGATACAAAACATCCAACAATTCAGGGCTTAACAGGAGGGTTCTGCTAGCAGGAGGGTTCTCTGCCAATTGAAGTCACCAAGACACAGGATTTGGGGACTTCATCAGCAGAGTCAAGGGAAGGGTAGGGACGGTTTTGTGGCCTGCAGCATGCAGGGGGTCAGACCAGATGATCATAATGGTCCCTTCTGACCTTAAAGTCTATGAGTCTATGAGGAGAAACTGCTAATAACTCTTAAATCCTAATAATATTTCAATATTCTAAGTTAAAGCCAGTTTTAGTAATAAAGCCAGACTCACTGCTAGATCTGTGGACATGGATATATTTTTGCAGGACTAGAATAGCTTGCCAAAACCACTTGCCTTGTGTTTTTATATTGAGAAGCCTTTTTTTTTTTTGGTTTGAGAGGTTCTTCCTATGACCACAAACAAACAAACAAACAAACAAACAAACAAGTACCACAAATATTTACCACCCCCCTTTAAAAACTTCAGGCTGTTTGCACACTGTCAGCTCCGTGTACTCTTTCTGGCATAACAAGAAGGGCTTCCTGGATGAGAAAATGTTTAGGATACTTGGAATGGAAAAAATGACACTGGAAACTTAGTCATGTTCATTTACAGAGTATATACTCCCCTGACCAACTATTATGGCCACTCCTGGATGCACACTATGAAACTCTAGTAAAGTTTTATTGCTGTGGATTGTGTCGAAAGGGGAAAGTTATTTCTTCTTCTGTTTACGTATCTTTTTTTATTTCCTATGTGACGTACCCATGTAAAAAATTACACCGGAATAATCTATGCTCTAAACAGATATCTGGATAGTCAAAACACCTAATTGGAAACCAGTCCCATAAAATCTAGAGATCGTATAACCTAGTTAATCAGAAATGTTTTTAAAACTTAACATAAAAGAAGTAAATGGCAAACAAGTATACCAGAGCAAGGCTTTGACTGCAATGTTGTTTTTATAGATGTCAAACAAGAGAGAAATCCTTGCAAATAAAATAATCTTGGACCTCAGAGAAAGGGATTTAGCTACTTAAGAAAGAATTCTAGTCGCTATATGCAGAAATCCTCTGTATTAGTTTTGCTAATCTCTTAAAATTGAGAGATTGATCTGAATATTAAACCCAAGGCTGCCTCAGGGACACTCATGCAGCAGAAATTCTGTAAACTTCCAAACAATATGCTGACAAATGTACGTACAGAATTTTGTTCAAAGGAAATTGGTATTTTTCAGCTGTTTGGCTGGATTTATTCAACTGCATCCCACATAAAGCAGCCCACGTTACATGCCGTTACAGTGTATATATAGTGAATTAAGGCATGTTAGGGTTCAGTATCAAGCCGTGTAAATATTTATCAACACATTTGTTATTTTTAGCCGAACAAAATTTTAAAAGTTCACCTGGAAAAACTGCCCCCAATAAATAGTGTGTCATTTGGGTTCCCCTGATTCAAGTAAGAGATGCCTGAGTAGGCAAAGATGGTATAGCTGACAAGACGTCTTGCTGCCATTCTTCATCAGCCTTATTGGTGCACACAGCCCCATATACAGAGTATAGGCATTGTACAGAAAATACCACAAAACAGCTCCTTTCCTGAAATAATGTGACACTGACCTTCATCCTCCTGGTTACCTTCTCTCCATATAACTAGCCAGATGCCGACAGTTGCCTCTCCTGCTTCTGCTTTTAAGCCCTTTAGTCACAAGGGGATGAAGTTTAGCTTTGCTTGTGTTGCCCAGGTCCTGCCAGTGCTGTGATTTGGATTCAGGTGATTGTGTCAATTTCAATTCCTAACATCCTACGGATGCCCTGTGCAGCAAATCCATTGTTACCCACCTCTGCATGGGAGCAATAAGTCTTCCAGCCACTCTCACTGCAGGCTCCTAACAGAGCTAAACATTTACATTCAGCGGCCTCCACTGTTTACCTCCCCAATCACACTTTCTTCCTGTTTGTGTCATTGGTCCTTCACTTTATGATCAGCTGAGTTTTGCAACAAGATTATTGACTCTCTAGTCTTCTACCATAGGAAGCTGCAATATACTGGTTCCCCTCCTCTCCCCCTCCAAATCTATTCTTGCTAAATTCTGGTGAAATTTGGAGATTAAAAGAAAACAAAAATTGGCCCCAGCTGGTATTCCAGAGAGAACTACATACTTATGGGGAACCCGCTCTCTTGGTCTGCACTAAGTGGAAAGGGTGGGCTAACAACCATTAGGCTTTGGAGAATCTTGTGCTTGCAGTGCCTGTAAATACCATGCATCTTTATACACTAGATATCCAAGGCAGTTTGGATGCAATGCCTGGGCTGAGGTCTCAGCTGAAACAGTGTAGGTTTCTCTATAATGGGTCAAACCCAAACACTAAAACCTGAACATCCTGATATTTGAAAAAGTAGAGATTTGATTCTGGTGTTTGAATCCCGGATTATTGAGTGTTTGAATGCAGGTCTTGGTGAAGACCATTATAAAGATATAAAATGTGGCCGGGAATTCAGGGTTCAGATCCAGAGTTTTGGTGTGAGTCCATCATTATTAGTAACATGCTGAATCCCAGGAGGATGGTCATACTTGATCGCAGCAGCTGACTTTGGCCTTCTTTGGGATTCCACAAATCTGCATCAGCTTGAGATTTGTGGATTCGGTAGGAAAACCAAAGTAGCATTGTGTTTGCCCCCGGTTCAAAGTTAGCAGAACCTGTGTGGGAATCACACACAGACAATAAACTGGTTGGGTCAATTATTTTAAGTGTACAAGCATCTAGGATAACTCCAGACTGTAATTTTACAGTACAAAGAGAACTTGTACATACATGTCTGTTGCATCTTACGCGCATTTAACGTGCGCTATTTCAGCTTTACGTGGTCGGCAAAACAAAACAAAAAAACAAAAAAACAAAAAGAGAAAAATAACAATTTTAATACTGTACCAGTAGTGCGGGTGATTCCGCCCGCCATTACACTCAATGTAATTTTGACTATACGCGATTTTTGTTTTACGCGCTGACTGCGGAACGTAACCCCAGCGTAAGATGCGACAGACCCGTATTCATTCGGATCACATGAGGCTACATCATCATCTGAAAGAAACAGACACAGCCTTCTAGCCATGCAAAGGAGAACAAAGGCTTTCTTTACACTGTGGCAATTTGCATGTCTAGGGGTAATAATGAGTCCATCCTGGCCTTATTACTTTGTGCCATCTTAACTGTGATCTGCTGTCCTCAGCTGCTGGTAAGTTTAGAGTATTAGCAAAGTCATCAACATTAAATTTCACCCTTGTCTTTCCGTGGAAGGAATTTGAGCCAGCTTCTCTTCACCCACCTTTTCAATGCAAACTGAACTCTTTTAGAATACAAGGGATGAGTGTGAATTTCAGTTTGCTGCTTTAATAAAACATTTAATGTTGCATTTCTTTGCTATGGGCTATTAAGTCCAGTCCACTCCACTAATAGGAATTCTGTATGGAATGCTCACTGAGTTCTGAAAATCAACCCCAAGCCCATACCAGGAAGCATGCATGTATGAAGCAAGGACTCAAAGATTATCAATGGAATATGTAACCAGGAATCACCATGCATTAAACCCTGAATCTGAAGAAGTGAGGTTCTTACCCACGAAAGCTTATGCTCCCAATACTTCTGTTAGTCTCAAAGGTGCCACAGGACCCTCTGTTGCTTTTTACAGATTCAGACTAACACGGCTACCCCTCTGATACTAAACCCTGAATAATTTATCTCTATATGCCTTTGATGACCTGTGCATAATTCATCCCTTTGACCAGTCTAGGAAAAGTCCCTGCTAGAACTAAATCTGGCAGATGGAAACTAATGTGTTACCCATTATTTCACCAGTGATCTCCCCAGTCATACCTGTGGGGGGGAAGTCCTGGCCAAGAGCATCACAAAAAATTCTTTAACCAGCAAACAGATAAAATCGATTTGTCCTACCTTTCTTTGGGAATAATTGATGTTTCCTTACTCTTTCATTTCCACTACTAGACAGAAATCAACTGCTTTGCAGGAGGCAGTGTGGCCTAGTATCTAGAACACTGGACTGCCACTCAGGAACCCTCAGTTCTACTCCCAGATCTGCTACTGGCCTGCTGGGTGACCTTGGACAAGTCACTGCCCTGCTGTATGCCTCAGTTTCCCCAATTGTAAAGCAAGGATAATTGTACTCACCTCCTTTGTTAAGTACTTGGAGATCTACTGATAAAGAGTGATGGGGATTATTGTATTTGAAATGGTTTGCACCTGCTTCTTATATCAATGCAGTTGTAGCTGAAAGTTTACAGGGCAGAAAACAGTTAGATTACATATCTAGGACCCTACCAAATTCACAGCCATGAAAAATGTGTCACGGACCGTGAAATCTGGTTTCCCCCCCATGAAATCTTGTGTGTGCTTTTACCCTATACTATACATATTTCACGGGGAGATCAGTGTTTCTCAAATTGGGGGTCCTGACTCAAAAGGGAGTCGCAGGGGGGTTATTTTAGGAGGGTTGCGGTATTCCCACCCTTACTTCTGCACTGCCTTCAGAGCCGGGAGACCAGAGAGTGGTGGCTGTTGGCCTGGAGCGCAGCGCTGAAGGCAGTGCCCAGACAGCAACAGCACAGAAGTAAGGGCGGCAATACCATACCATGCCACTCTTACTTCTGCACTGCTGCCTTCAGAGCTGGGCGGGAGGAGAGTGGTGGCTGCTGACTGAGGGCCCTGCTCTGCAGGCAGCAGCGCAGAAATAAGGGTGGTAATACCATACTGTGCCATCCTTCCTTCTGCGCTGTGCTGGTGGCGGCTCTACCTTCAGAGCTGGGATCCCGAGCAGCAGCTGCCGCTTTCCAGCTGCCGCTTTCCAGCTGCCCAGCTCTGAAGGCAGCGGCACTGCCAGCAGCAGCGCAGAAGTAAGGGTAGCAGTACTGCACCCCCCCCCACAATAACCTTGCGACCCCCCCACAACTCCTTTTTGGGTCAGAATCCCTACAATTACACCACCATGAAATTTCAGATTTAAATAGCTGAAATCATGAAATTTGCTATTTTTAAAATCCTATGACTGTGAAATTGACCAAAATGGGCCGTGAATTTGGTAGGGCCCTACTCATATCCCAGGGGAAATATGCTTATTATTAAATATGCCCCATTTTGATCAGCACGTACACACCCCATAAGGGTCCCAAAGAGTTTACACTCTAAATAGACAAGGGGTGACATTGGAAACAAAAGTGCAGAGAAGTAACTTGCCAAAGGTGACAGAAGTAGGAATAGAACCAATGTCTCCTCAGTCCCCATTCCAGGGCCGGCTCCAGGTTTTTTTGCTGCCCCAACAAAAACAGAGTACCACCGCCGAAGCAAAGTGCCACCCCCAAAGGGCTGGAATGCCCCTTGAATAGTGCTACCCTAAGCACATGCTTGGAATGCTGGTGCCTAGAGCTGGCCCTGCCCCGTTCTGTGCCCCATCCTTTACCTGCAAGGAGGGAAAGGTGCCTCAAAGGAGGTGCTCCAGCAACCAAGCTGTGTGTTAATTTGGACAGGCAAAACACTGGTTGGGAAATCTTAATGGTCACAGGGCAAATCCCAGCCCTAAATCACCAGCAAGACTCTCACTAAAGTCAGCGGGGCCACAATTTGGAGAGGAGGATACTGTAAGAGGGGAAATGCTTTGCTCTTTATGTGGAAACAAGCACCAACCTATTCTGGGGATAGAAAACACTACGCTAGTTAGATGGTGTTTATTTGACTAAGATGTGTTGACGCTGATGTTCACAGCATCTTCCCTACAGCAAAGCAGCATCGTTAAACAACAGCCAGGAAAGATCACCTTGTCACGCTGCTATTGCATTCACTGCATGTGGGAGGCTTCTGTTCACACTGTGACAAGCTTGTAACAGCCAGCTGCTGAACTGTGCAGCAGTCATGAATCACAGCATGGTTTTCAAAATTCTTAAAACACGAAAAAACAGCTGTAGCTGGGAAGAAATTTAACATGGCCAAAAGCCTTCCCCAGTTACAGCTTTCATCCCTCCAGCAGCTCCTTTAATGCTACTTCCTTTCTTTCCTTTTTTTGGTTACAGTCTGGGTTTAGAACAGTACGCTACAAAGAGTAAGAAAAAAATTGGTTCTGTCGTTTCCTACTGACAAATCTCTTTGTAGGCGACTCTTCCAGTGTGCACTGGATAAGGCAAAGTCTACCAAAAGTTCAATCTCATTCATGCAACACTCCTGGGGTTGTTTGACACACTGTTTTTTTTAAACTATAACTTCCAGTTGCTTTGGCATACTATAAATAAACCTGGTAAGTCTGTAAGCTTGCTAAACCTTAACTAAATAATTAAACATTTTTAAAAATCCCTCACACACAATCCAGACTGTCTTAGGGGAAGAGAGAAAGAAAATTAGACTAGTATCTCATGCTATTTTTTCTTTCCTCTCTCTTTCCCAGGCTAACAGAAGAAAGCTGCCATCTGCTCTATCTAGTTAGCCCACAAGAGGTTTGAGACGTTAACTCTTAAAAAAGCTGCACCAGAAGTGATTTAAAATCTTTTCCACACCAAGCTATAGGCATAGAGCTAGGATAGTAAGAACCACAATGCAGAAAGTACAAGAATCTTCCTTCCGGTGCAGAAATAGTACTGCCTAGAATTCAGATAGAGGAGGGAAGAGCAAATCATCAGACACAGAGGCTGCATTTAGTTAGGATGCATCTCCTATACCATGGACACTTCAGATCCCAGTGGACATTGCTAGCTGGCATAGAGAACCAAGTGTATCCAACCTGGAAGTGATGTGTGCATCAAACACAAGGGTAAAGGCAGAGCTTCCAAATCACAACGTTTAAGAGTTCAGAGTCTAGGCCCAGTTTTCAAACACAGACACCTTAACAGAAGATCCAGCTCTCCCATTCATATTAGCACTTAGGTGCTCAAACACTAGATCTGGTCACAGAGCAGGAAAAAATTCTTCATAAATAAAATTAATCCCCAATCAACAGCCAAAAAGTGAATAATATGATGAATATCGTTGAGCCATCTCTAGAAATTGTCAAATAACAGAAAACAGTCATACAATTTATCAGACATATATTGAAAAATTTCACTGAA